ATCTCACACTGCAAAAAATGCGGCAAAAATACTTTGTAAAGCAGCCAGAGCTCCAGTTGCCTGTAGCTTTTCTTTGTTAAACTTTTCTGCAGCTACAATCAAATCAACTGAGCTGCTCTACTGTCGACAGATGAATTGACATGAATGACATCAAACTGCACAATTGAATTAACGTGTTTGTTGTTTGTCAATAAATCTAAACTACCAGCAAGAATGAATACTAAAAATATACATTTCCATGTTACTTCAACTTTAAACATATGGATAATGTACAGCAGATATTTTATCATTAAACGTTGGTGTTAAAACTCACATGTTAGACCTCCATCCACACCCTCACGGATGAGGAACAGACTGAAATAACCAACAAGGTCGTCTGGAAGGTCAAGCTTTGTTGCAACAGCCTGTGAACACATCAAAGAGACAGTTTATTTTTTTACAATTACATTCATATCATCTGTCCCTGAACTGGACATAATAAAGGTGATAACTCTCTGAGTACAGTCACACAGAGACATCTCAGCTCCAACCTACAGATTACTCTCACCTCATCCTCAGCCATATTTAAATACAAACATAAAAAAAACAATATAAAAATAATGAAAACATTTACATTTTAATAGATATTGTTTTCTTCTGAAACAGCTGCGGACATTTGAGCTAAGAGTGAATGTTAAGAGTCTGTTTAAACTTGACTTAAATCTTTTTATCTAATGTTTTATCTAACAGAGGAAATGCACTCCTCCTTGCATGACCAAAGTCCAAAGTCAAATAGACCTGAAAATTAGAACATATGTAGTAATACAGAATTTAGAAATTGGTTCACCAACGTCAGCGTGTTTACATTGTTGAGTAAAGTGTATGCAGCTAAGAGAACTCTGAACTGTGTTTGTGTAGCTGATAAAGACCAGGGTGAAGCCAGAAAAATAAAAAGGCAGAACTACAGACAGAAGATTAGTAACTACTTTTGAGACCTGTGTCTTGAATACTATCACGAATACATTTTTAGCAGAACAAACGGAGTGAAAGTCTGGTGTTTGTTTGCACTTAAACAGAACGCTTACATCAAGGACATCCTCGGTCTGGTCTGAGGTCAGAATGTTGACGGTGACCTTCTGTCCGTTGGAGAGACAGATGTCTAGAGCAACTTCTTCTGTGGGAATCTGCTGCGTCTCCTGTGAGAAGGAACCGTTGACAAATGAGAGCAGGACTTCCATCAACAGTACTGACTGGCTTGAAGCTTCAGGTTTTCATCCTTATATGTCAACATGTTCCAGTAAAATCACACAGGGAGAAAATGCAACTTTGTCACAAACTGTTTCAAACTGTTTCCCTCTCTCTGAAGAGAAAAGTCTGTATGAAAAGGGTCTGTTATTGTAGCAGGTAAAGTTCTATTCATAATGGTCGCTGCAGTTAAATTCTCTAATGCCATTGTTCACGTCTCATCTGAGAGGATACAAAAATCAAAAGATAATAATAATAATAATAAATCTCAAATTGTGTGAATCCAACTTTCCACCTGTCTTTCCTGTTTCCACAGTGGGGGAGGGGAGGGGGAGGAGGAGGAGGAGGAGGGGACCAAGTACATCACTCCTGCTTGAGGTTCAGAGGAAATGACAGCACTGGGTGGTAACTCATCTCCTATTCTACACCTGCTCTCCCTGCAGTGCATACTGTAAGGAGGTGGGGGGAGGGCACAGGGACAAACATGCAGCTTGATAAACGAAGAAGGGGAATGGAGGAGAAGGAGGAGAGGGGAGTATGACGTAGCTGCACACAGATGAATCCGTCCATGAAGGTTATTGGATTTAAACCCCTTCAGGCAACACAGGTCACACCTTGAATCACAACGAGCACAATGGATAAAAGAAATCTTCCTCAAATACCTTAAAAACCACCCTCAGCCTCATTTTAGACCATTTTTAGAGATTGATTCACAGGTATCAATAATAAACTCCCTTGGAATGTCACCATTTCTACAGTTGTAATTTCATTTTTCCATTGAACCAGATTACTTCTATGTTTGTTTTTAACAGAGGACAGACATAAAAGCTGACGACTCAGTTTATGTCCTGTACCTACGATCTTCCTCTACGTACAGAATCCAAAATAACCTCAGGATCTCATAGATTAGTTCATATGTTACCTAAGTCTGGAAAATTGGTCACTGATTTTCCAGACATAGGTGGGAACACAATTTTCTTATAGATTTCTTTATGCAACCTTCTCTGACTGACTGACTTTTCTGATGTAACAGTGATGTTGCTAACTCTCACAGACTAACTTCCTCCAACAAAATGTAAAAAAAGTAACCAGCAGTTAAAGAGATATAAGTGGATAAGACTTTTGGTGCAGAGAACACACCCCGCCTCCTCATCACCGGCTGCTAACTAACACAAATGGAGAAGCAGGAAATGCACAGTAACCAACCTGCTGTGCTTTCCTCAAGAAGCTGTTGAACATCTCACTGGCTCCAAGCAAGGGATCTTGGCGCACTGTAACAAAAACAGGAGACAAATTAGACGATGACCACAGCAGCAGGATTATAACATTACTTCACGGTTCGGTATTAGATGAAACGGATTTGTTTGGATTGGAATGAGATGTTTTTACAGGTGATTTGATACGAAGCATGGACCTCCTGATGAGGAGTGATGCCTTTCTAAGATCTCCAATATATAAATAATGTGACCTTCAAACATATTTCATCAAGATGAAATTCATCTCCAAACATGCAAAATAATGTATGAATAATAATCTGGCAGCAAAAAAAATAATTATAAAAAAAAATTTATAAAATATTTAAAATAAAAAATATTAAAATAATTATAAAATTTAATAAATAAACAAATTAATAAAACAGCAAGATACAGTATGTCTCAGGGCCTTCTGTTGATACAGTGGAGGACATTTAATCATCTGACCATGGATCAGCCTTCAACATTTAATCAAGCTCTTGAAAGTTCTGGGGAGGGGGAGGAAGGGGCGGGGGTCATCTGGGTCAGAGCAGAACGTATTTGCGAGAGCTCATTTTCCATAACTATGAAAAGAGTTGTGACGAAACCAAACAAACTTGTGGCCAAGAACACACTCTGTGTGTGTGTGTGTCTGTGTGCTACACTTCCAGACTTTGAGCAAATACAAAGTGGAACAACGCTTCCTTGTTCTGTTGCAACTGCCAGTGCTTGAGAGGATTAAAACAAACCCACTGTTGCTGCCAGTTGAACTCAGTCATGTGTGTATGCAGGGAGCTCAACCTTAACCCGTTTATAACATCCAGGCAAAATGTTCAAAAAAAATCTCCAAAAAGGATATTACACTACAGCTGGCTTCTTAATAGCTCTCAAAATTGTTTGTTTTTTTATAAATTAAATTTCTTGAAATTTACTTGGTGATAAGCTTTAAATTCTGTGTATTAGGTGTATTAGGATTTCTCTGTGTTACTGTGTGCATATCTGTATGTCTGAGTAAGTGAGTGGGCGTTTGTTTGTGTGTTTTTATTGTTTCAACAGAAAAACAATTTTCTGTTTATACTGGAAAAGTCAAACATTTGTAGTTGTGTAACAGTGGAGACAAATGACAAAGATCAATTGTCCCTCGTTTACTCACTGACAAAAGCAACTGCAGCATGGTTTGAATTCAGAGTCAGAAATAAATTAAAACAGATGCCACACATAGCATGAAAAAGTCTTACTTCACTTTGAGTAACTCACCGGCCTGCATGTACTTCTCCAGCTGCTCCCGTCTCTGTTCCACCTCAGCGGGAGTCAGGGTGAAGATCTTCTTTGGGGGGAAGGAAGGCACCACATTGCTGCCATATTCTTTCTTTATCTGTGAATATTAAAGCAACAGGGTTACGGACCAAATGACCAATTAACAACGGCCTACTGACTTCAGGACAGAGTGTCACTCTCCTCAGTGTAAGAAATGGGGTTTTTTCACAGAGGTGCATTAAAGCTTTTCTAGATGAATCACAGGTTTATTTTGAGCCCAGTTTCAACGACTGGCTGTTGAAGTTTCCGTGCTGAACACAGACACAGACACACACACTCACACATCTGGAACCTTGGATGTCTAGTCATTCCAAGTTTATTCTGTCTTCCAGCTTCTTGACTCATTTCTTCCCATTTTCTTTCATCTAAGGTTATATTGCTTTGAACTGAAAAATTACACAAAGATCTCGCACATCTACAAACCTCATTAACAGGAAGACAAGGTAAACGTCCCACGGCTACGTGAAACCCAAGGTGTAGTTTGGTAATTATACTGAACTTCAATGACACAGGCAAAATTAGATAAACATTTTCATTTGTATCAACAAAGTTATTCCTATTATTATGTCACATTTTAATGAATGGCTCAAACACGTTTCCAAAGCCAAGGTAATGTTTCATTTTCTATTTTACAACATCTGCCAACTCCTCCAGTGTAATGGTTTATTATAAAATCACAGAGCAAATATGGTTTTACTCAGACCTCCATCCTGCTGCTAGCTAAAGCTGCACATAATACTCATCATTAGTAATTTATGAACACATTTTTCCTATGCCCTGCTCTTGGACATATGGTGTGTTGAGAGTGGTTTTCACCTTAACATCCTGGCCTTTGGTATTTTCAGCACATCTGCCAAAGGCAGGCAAATTAGTCTTCTGAATCTGAAACCAGTCCAAGCTCATAAGGTTTATTACAAACCCTTACAGAGGAGAAAACCAAGGGAGGCTGTTAACATTCAAATTGCCTCGGCAATAATTCTTAGTGTGAGCGCCGCAAACAGCGCAATGTTTTTTGGGGTCATGCGTAAACCACAGAGAGCCCTTTGGTGATGCTCACAGACTCTAGTGAGTCTTCCCCACAGCCTGTTGCCAGGCAACACCAACTGTCAGATTGGATAATTCAGATTTAAGGATGGAGACGGAAAAGTTTGGCACCTGCTTGTTTTACTCTTGAGACAAGGTCAGCGGGGCTTTTTTTTTATAAGTGTTTATGCAGTGGCAATTTAATTAGTCCAGACCGCTGTTAATCATGATTTTTACAACAATGTATCATGTTCTGATAAGAGCTGTAACAAGTCACTGGTATAAAGAAAAAAAACACTGAAGACAAGGCTACTGTCCAACAACATCTCCTTTTCACATTAAGGTCATTTTTTCCAGCAGGTGAAATCTAAGAAAGACTGAGTGAACATTCCAACATTCCATGGCCAAAACCTCCTACCAAAATAAAGTGCATTTATCTGGAATAGACTAAACTCTGAGACAGTCAACAGCACAAGACTTTAATTGTCAATGACCCTCACTTAAGGGTGTTGTAATATTAGCGGTGTGACCTAGAGGTGAATGAGAAAACACACCAGGTATGTATGAATGTGCTAAAGAACACTGTCTATACACCATCATTACTTATGGCTTACCTGTTCATGAAGGCCAAGAAGCTGACTGTAGCGTACGCGACAGTGTAGGACCCCGTTTACATGAATGTTGTAGGCCTGCATGAAGAAAGGAGTAAAACATCAGTGTGAATGAAAAATTACATAAAGAACACACTCAATGTAACACTGTTTTGTTACATAAAAGCATCATCCATGAGGAAAATGTTATTTTTTGTCAAGGTTTACAGTAGATCAGGACCTACCAGTAGACCATAGACCGTAAGACTTTTATCTACTTACTTAATTAGGTAATTACTTAATTACTTTAGCCTTTGACTCCCAGGCCAAAAAAGTGTGGACAGCCTTGGTCCATAATATATACAATAGTAATATGCAGCTTCCTAATTATTGCTCTGCCGTTGCTCCAGATGTAGGACAGACACACAATAATAGTATACCTGTTACCGTGTCCTAATAATAAACATCCTTTAGTGCCTCAGCCCACTGGGCTAGCTCGTGTATAAATAAACGTCCGGGGGGTCAGGGGCAGACGGATGGACTGTGGCCCCTGTTCTTCAACACTGCTGGTACTTTTCTATTAGTGATCTCAGTCAGACTCATTCTCTACTGACAGAGAGTTTGTTTTTTTCCTCTCTGATCGTCCCAGGCATGAAGGACACTGCAGTACACATACACTGCATGATTCTAGTGGACCAACAGATGTCTGGCGAAGTGTTCAGACTTGTCATGTTTGGTCAGTGCTGTTGCGCTGCTGCTGGAGAACAGATGTAACCTTTCAAAGCCATAGGCTCAACACCCAAGGAGGAGGAACAAGAAAGAACTTTTGGAAAATTGTTTCTTGACTGTTTAAAAACTTCCATGATGCTGGTAGAATGTGGTCAACAGTTGAACTGCAGGTGCCACAGACATCACCAAGCCAAACTAAATATGCAAAAATCAAATGAAACATAGACAGTGGCAGGGTGAAACTGAACAAATTCAGTCTAGCCTGCTATCACTGTTTTCTATGCCTATAACTTTTCAGGCATAGAATAAAGCCAGCATTAACACAATATATCATATACTTATTAATAATAATATTAAGATTTTTTTTTTATTTTTAAAAGTGTTAACAGCAGATCTGCTGCAACAGGCAAGTATGTTGTTCCTAAGAACTGTCTTGTCTCCTAAGAAATGTTTTCTTAGGCTCTTTGTCTATCATCTAATATGTTTCTTCTTGGGTTGACATCAGATCAGAGTGATCTAATTTTTTTTTTTATCTGTAGCTCTTTAAAAGCTGGAAAATAAAGTTGCATTCTTCATTTAAATAAATCCAAAATTATAATAAACATTTACTCTGTAAGGCATCTAATTGTTTTTACAAAAATTAATCTATTTTTTATGTCTGACACCTCATTAAACTTTGGAGATGCCAAACACCAAGTGACACTTCAGTTCTAGCCTCAGGAAAAACAGCTTTACTCAAATAAATGCTCTGTCAATAAATTCAAACTGCTCAAAAATAAGTTTAAAATGTTTTTTTAAGATGATAAAAATCTGTTTATCTGAAGGTTACTCCTGCAATTTGAATTATAAAAAGGATCCAAAAGTATTCTAGCACAGAGGGTACATTGAGCTGCAGTAACTCTAAAAGCCTTGATATGAAGTGAATATTTCTATCTACACACGTACGACGACTCCATCCACGAGGACCATTTGCATGCTTGTCGAGACAATCTTCCATTTAGGAGACGTTTCTTTTATCTCTTCTTCCTCTGTGTCTATGAATATTTATAGCCACAGTAGTGAGTCATCACAGTAAAAAGTATTGCTGCGCATACCATTGCAGAATTACAAGAGCAATCAATAGGAACAAGAAAATCAAAAGTTCACAGTGAGAGAGAGGAAGGCTCTGAAACTGAGGAGGGAGACCAACAGAACTGAAATATGTGCATGTAGGCAGTATCCATGCAGGAAGGAAGAGTGAGTATGCAGAATGTCTAGGCTCTGTTTGGGTATGTATGTGTGTGTATATATGATTGTATGTCAGAAATTCTACTTTCAGATCTACTTTTGATCAATTTTGATGATATCTAATCTAATCTAATCTATCTGACTGGAAACATTGTTAAATAAAATGAATAATGCTGTAGTTCTGGGGATGGTGCACAGGATGTTTTAGTCACTGTGTTAATTACTGTCTATTTCCAACGTTACTATTTTATTAAGTGTGTAATGGATAGAGTGTTTCTAATTAATTGCATTCATTGGTATAGTTTTTTGTCCAATAATGAAACCAAGATAAAATGATGTCTGGATTTTGTCATGTGGAAATAAATTATGCAAAAGAACAAATCCATGGCTAGCAAGGTTGCCCAAGCTTGGCACCATTTCCAATTAGAATACAGCATTAGATATGAGAGAAGGAACATTACACACCAATGCAGAACCAAGACTTTTTCCTTCAATACTTTTTAATCTCTCACCTCAGGAAGAATCACTTGGAGGCACACAGAGCCTAGGTTTTAATTTCAGTGTCCAGACCAGTATCGGTTGATTTCAGAATCACAGAATCAGAATATAAGCCAAAAGATCAATATTCAGTTTCCCTTCTCAAAACCATAACTAAATAAAACAAACATTTCTTATCCAAAGTAAACAGGTTACCTTTGCTTTCCCAAACCACACTGACTGCCAAACAGTCAAGTCAAATATTTTAAACCACAGAAGAAGATGTGATGAATCCAGTTAACAACAGGAAGTTTGGCACATAGAATAAAGATTTGTCCCTGCTTGCACAGGAGCTGTTCCATATTTATAAGAAAAGAAAAACTGCAGTCCCTGTTATTCGAAAAAGCTGTGTGCATACTCGGCAGATTCTTAAGACTACCACTTGCAAAGTGCAAAACAAATCTCTCAGCATTATAATCAAGTAAAGTCCCTTCCTGTGAGCTGGTTACAGGCGGATCACAATGATAGTCACAGGACTGTCTGCTGAGAGGTAAAACGTTTTAAAACGAGTATCCACTGCAGTAAAGGCATCCAGGTTTAGAATAGCCACTGAGCCACAGCCCGAGTGTTTGTGGATAATTTAACTGGAAAATAGAAAAAACTACTTGCTTTGGTCCACTGCTCATCCAGCATTTGTTTTGTTTTTTTGCAGCAGAGATACAGAGATATTTCCTCCTGCCAGTGGAACACTTTTAAGTCAGAGTAGTAAATACTTATTGATAAGTGATACTGAGAACCACCAGTACTATTTCACATGGAAACCAGATGTTGCAGATGTTACTGCAAAGAATGTCCTACTCTTATTCATCCATTTGTTGTGTGGGTTAAAACAAAAATGCACATAAATCAGAACACAAAGCAAAACTTCCGGTCATTATCATTTTTCATTCTCTAGCGCTTAAGAGACCGGTGCTGTTACTTATGTTGTTAAACTGAATGTTGACAGTAATTCTACCTCAACCACACATTGGCACACAAACACTGGCACATGTCAATGATGATCAATCATGGTTTATGACGGGAGCGGCATTTAACACCCACAAAAACCAAAAATGATTCATGCTGATGATGCGTCACTCTTGTTGTCCTTGACCAACCTTTGTAAAACATACTCTCTCTACACAGCAGTGAAGAGTGGCCTCACTATGAAACCCACATAACATGTAGCACCAAATGCAGTTCACTTTCATTCCTGAGTGTTTAGTTTAGTATATTGCAGAGAGAAGAGACTGTACTTACAAGCACAATGAGAACAGATAAAACTTAAACACGTAGAACTCTGAGTACCACTGCTGGAGTTTTTTCTAAATGTCAATATCAGTGAGTACAAATATTAGATGTGGACTCAAACCACAAAACTCAGGGAGCGGTGCTCAAGATGATACAACACATAAAGGGCTTTTTTTTCACTTTATGACAGAAAAAATACACAAAGTGTGATGATGTGAAGTAAAATAACAATTACAAAGTACTCTGGTATTCTGTTTACCATATCATAACTTATATTTGTCAAACAGTGTGTAGAATACACTTTGTATTTTAAAGTGTTTACACCACACTGTAATTATTCCTCTTGACATCTTAAAATGTTATTACATCTATTTTGCTTCTGTTTACAACCTGCACTACTGTTACAATTAAACAGCAGATGTTAAAGGTGAAATGTCATTTTAGTCAACGCTAACAGCAGGCCCAGTGGGGCTAGAGTGGGAGGATTCCTGCCAGTCATGCAAACGGTTCTGGGTTCGATACCACCAAGTCTTCAGGTTGGGCATCCAAAGGAAAATCTTGGCCAAAGTACTAAGCAGACTACTGTTGTGGGGGCCCCTGATAGTGGGACAAGCACAAAGTGATTCTAAACAGCATTACAACATATCATCTGTTGGATATAGAGATAAAACTATAGGGTTTCTAACCTACTGATGAAAAAAAACTGTATGACTGTAAGTTGAGGGTTACAACATCAGGCACTGGTGAAATGGCATTAACTAAAACAATATGTCTTGATCTTTACTTTCTGAATCTAAACGACATGTGCATTAAAAAGACATAGCCTAAAGACTTGTGTACAAAACATATCCTCTATTCCATCCATGAACCACTGGATTTTTCTGCAAACTCACTCAAGGCCACAGATGGTTCTACTCAAGTTTTTACTAGAGAGGTTGCGAATGACAATAATTTAGCAGTCTCCTGAGCAGCTTATTATTCATGGTCAACTATTTCTGGACAGCATTTGTAAATGTCGTAAATGCTTTTGTCCATCGTCTACAATCATTTCTTAAAAATACAGGAGACAGAAGCTGTAAATAACAAAATCTCAACCAAAATTATATTTAAAAAACTGTTGTTTATAAATAGCTAATGACAAGTAGAGGAATTCAGTTGTGCTTATCAATCCAAAAATAAATATTATTTGCAGAACTACAATACTTAGTAATTTCTAAAACAATTTTAATCATAATTATATAATGTTCGTTGAGTCACTGCACCTGCATAACTGTACTGTCATCATGATGGTGTTTGGTTAAATTTACATGAAGATTCCTTGATTCTGGTACGTTGATAATACTAAATAATTATGTTTCAGGGTAAACATAAAAACACGTTGCTGCATAGAGCAATGACAAAATAGCAGAAAAAAACAAACAAACAATCAAAATACGAATAATCATGCTCACCACATAGGTGGAACCGTTTTCTCCTGATCGCACCTCTGTTTCAGGAATGGAAAAATGCATTTTTAATCAGAGTGTATCTCAGTACCAGACGACAGGTCTCTAGCAGTTCTCGGGGAAAAGGAGAAGACACCACAATTCCTCCGGAAAAAAAGTCAGTCCACTGCAGTGACGGTGACTGTCGGCGGTGACTACTGGGGAGGAGGAGAAGGAGGAGGAGGAGGCTCTCACACGGTTCATCCACTGCTTAAGTCCGGGGAAAGCGGTGCCAGGCAGAAGAGAGATTGCAGCGAACTTAATGATCAGCACCACAAACTCATAGAGCCGCTCGTATTCGCATCAAACTTCTCCCACGTCAGTGTTGAACTTTTCTCAGTGTCGTCCCCACAGCAGCCATGTTGCAAGTGTTAAGTAATTACACCTTCAAAGCTGCAGTTAAATTGACTTGTTTTCAAGTCAATTTTTATGTCCTTCTTTCAGGCAGCCTGCGATCACATTAGTTTAACATTAACACTCACTGTGAGAAGTCACGGGTGGCTGAGATCTTGAGTAACCATAAAAGTTCCGAGAAAAAGGTGCAGTTGTTCCTGCAAAAGCCCACACCGTCGCAGGGCGGCTGAAAAAAAACATCCGACATAAGAGAGAAGGGAGTCTGCACTTGTTGAAATCCCTGTTTGTACTCCTCGTTTTTATTATTTGATTTAAATAAAAACACGGTGAGGAAAAATGTGAAATCGTGGAAAACACAGAGCTTAAAATCTGCTTCTAGTCATCCTGTGTTCGCTATCTGAAGTGGCCCATTCAGGGGCATTGCCACAATTCTTCTGGAACAAACCATTTCTTCCTCTTACGGAGTGACATGTTTGTAGTTGCTGTAAGTATACTTAAATGACAACACAACAACTAAAGCTGGTTCTGAATTAAAAATATTGACATATATTGTACAACCTATATGTGACAAAAATAATGGTTTATTTGATATTCTGTATCTTGTGTGTTAATATCCCAGAACTCCGACAACCCACTTTTTTGGTTCAGTCCAAAGTGACAGCGACGGCGCAGTTAAATTAATTAAACCAGAAAAAAATACGTTTACTCTCGATTATTTTTACAGTATATAATTTCGTAGGAATCTGGAATAAGGTCATTGACTTTTCGCAAGACTTCTTATGTAATGAAATGTAGTTTGTTGACAACAGATAACTTTGACTGTTTAGCTTTAAACATTTACATAAAATATCTGTGTGGGATATGTTAGAAGCTAGTGGTTACAATTTTTTTCTGTGCAAGTGCAACTTACTTTTATGAAAAAATACTTACATTTAGTTGACTTTAAACATGAAACATACGTAATTTCTCTCATATTAGTAAATATAAAAATGCAGTGGTCCAAAATGGCAGCCACAATAGAGAAGCGCCACCTCTGAATGCTTTTTTGGTGAATATACGCCGTAGACCGTGGATAATGAGTGAACAGAGCAATGTTAAAGGTTTTTGTTTGTTTCTTTTTGTGGAATATGATATGGTAAAACAAAACTTACAATACAGTTAATAAATTTGTAAGAAAAATGCAATATTGTGAACACTAAATTATACTGCCAGTCCTTGTCAAGTAAATAACAACATTAGCTTTAATTTAAATCTATCTACAAAGTATTATGTTCACCGCAATATAAATTGAATGTAAAATAATTTATTCTGAATAACACTCAGTTCACGTTCTAAATTCATTATTGAACAAGCTTTCTTTTAATTGTTCTTAATTACAAATATACATTTCACATGTTTACCGTGGGGGGAAATGCAATTAATACTTCCTTAATTTGGTATATGCGCAATTGTTGCGCAAAATCACACAGACTGGGATGAAGTGATGGAACAGTTTCCGGTCACATGTTCGACTCTGTTGGGTCATGTGATCTAAATCAGTAAAAATGAAAGCTGGGCGCAGCCAGCTGGATACTGCGGTGCTTGTTTTAATTATCAGTCATTTATGTTTTTACGCCCCCTGTGAGTTGACTAGGCTGCCGGTAAGACGGACGTTTGTCATTTTAACATATACTCTTTAATATAGTTGGAAAAATTATGGGTTGAAGTTTTAAAAATCACGGGTTACAGAAATGAAACAAAATTCTCCATACACTGTTGTCATGTCCATGTGATTTGAAAATGTATTGTTTATAACCACGTGTTGTTGTTCTTTGTAATGTTTATGTGCAGGTATGTAAACTGTGTAGTGGGTCTGTCCTCAATGAAACCGCAGTGGGACATTTTTGCTTCGTTTCCAATGGAAGGCTCGAGGGACGCTGTTGCCTGAAAAATGACAGCAACAGCAATGGCACTGAACGCATCATCGGGTTGGAATATTGCTTTATTATTTACAGTTAATAAGACTGGCCTTTTACATGTCGTGCACTGCTACTGTGGCGAATCAAAATACGCTTTAGGTGTCTGGGACCATGCTTTGTAGCGAATATTCAAAGGACAGCTGTAGTTACAATCTGTGGATTTTGAGACTAACATTGATAGTTTTTTAAAGAAAATCTCAAATGTTCCCATTTGTTTTTACGAATATTTACTTACCAAAGCGACCTTAACAGTATCCATTTTTTTGTCACTCTCAAATATTATAAATAACAAGAATTTCCATTTTAGGCAATGATCCCCTTATTGTATAATGTATTATATGTTAAAAAAATATTTTTTACAGATCTTCATGCATTGTAAGAGTCACTATCCGTTGTACGCATGTATGGGGTTTTGTTAATCACATTGGACATCGAAGTACTGTTAACTTTGACCTTCTCAACTAACAAAAAAAAAAACAGTTTTCCACAAAAAACGTTTTGTAAATGTTTTAACCTGCTGTTTCTGTTTGTCTTAGGTTGGATCTGTCCAATTGTTCATTAAAACAAGTGGATGATCTTCATGAGGCAGCAACAGCATATATGATGTATGTGTTGTCAGCTATATTATGCTTGGTTACTATATGTAGATTACTTTTCCTGTCAATTATGATTCTACAAAGTCATCACTTACACTGGGTCTTTGAAGATATTTTTTAAATTAAATATGTCACTCTTATTAAAAAATCCAGAAGAAATTACAAAGCATCTTATGAGAGATCTTATTGTTTATCTTAATTACTCTTTTTAAGTCCAAACACTCCAAATTTTTGTTTCTATTGTAACATTTTTTGTAGAATTGATGTATTTCACACCAGGTGTGATTGCCCATTTACTTCATCCAAGGACTATAATTGAATTCCTTTCAAAGAAAAAACTGATGCATACTTTGTGCATGACTTTAACAGATTTCAATTTAAATCTGGTCAATAACTTTTAATGACTTTAGGGTGGTGGAAAACCTTCTATCAAAGTCAAATAAAATGTTACACAGTTTGATGCTTGAAAAATGTTACAATGATGAAAATAATAAAGATAACTTCTTAGAACTTTTTACTTACCCTTTTATACTTTTATTTTACAGAGACCTCTCACTCAATCCTCTTGTCAACCTGAGTGACTCAGTGTTTGAAGGGTTTAGTGACTTAAACTACATGTGAGTATTTTATGTTATTATAAAAATAAACATGAAAATAAAAATATATATGTACTTGTTTTTAACTTAATTGTGTGTCTTCCTTAGGATTTTACCAATAGACATATTTTGTCCAGGAGGCAACCAATCATGGTCAAAAGTGGAGCTAAGAGAAGGAAGTCGTCTCTGTGAAGATCCAAAAAACATGTGCAATCAGACTGGACAGCTGGGTAAGTTCTCATCCCACATGAAAAAAAAAAACAACCTTCAGCATCTCTGCAGTAATAGAAGACATCTGTTCATCTCATAATGTCTGACTATTCTCAGTCATCGACTGCCCCGAGAACTCCCTCTGCACGCCTTATGGCCCCGGCTTCTTTGAGTGTAACTGTGCTGATAATTACTATGGATACAAGTGTCTTCGAGAGGTCAGTTTGGCAAAGTATGGAATCAGAATCTATACCTCCACCCAGAGAGTACGTAAGTATTTGATTTGTCTTGTGCTGCTATGTTTATAGGGGGAATTCCCAGCCCTGCAGGTATTTGGGCCTCTTGGAGCTTCCACGGTTGTGCTCTCTTTCCTGCTCTGGGTCACACAGAGACGTAAGGCCAAAGCCCTGTGAGCTGCAAATGTCTGGTTTTTATCTTTACCTGAGCAGTAACTGACTTTTATGAGACGGGGGAAATGCTGACAGTAGAGCCTGAGGAGAACCTTTGCTTCTTTTATTTTTTAACCATTGTAGGGCAGTTGTGTTTTATTTTCAGTCTGACAGACTTATTTTACCACTGGTTTTAGGTATAGTTTTTCCACATTTTAAATGTTTTCTGTTTTGTTTTGTTTTTTTAACAGAACCACTATTTACTGTTTTATGCATCTTTAATTGAGAGGAGAACAAATTTTGCTCTCCTTCCTGTGCACTGTGCCAACAGAATACTGACTTGGTTTATAGCAGGCAATTTCATCTTGAAATTTCCAGAGGGGGGCTGTAGAGCCCTAATGTTTTTTGAATAATGTACTTGGACTTCACTCAGAAAGAAAACAAGCTGACTTTAGCAAAAGTATTATCTTATAATCCTGCCTCATAATATTTAGTTTGTTTCATCTTTGCTTGAAACGGAACGTTGCTGTTGTGTAGCTGTGAATACGGTCCTGCATCAGTTCCTACACTCGTGTGTGTGTGTGTGTGTCCTTTATTGACAATAATGTTATTGCTTGACTAGTCTACGCTGCTTTTAAATAAAATTCAGGGCCCAAAAAAAATTCAAACTAATGGACACATGTATGTATGTATATATGAATGTGCAATTTTTAATTCCTCTAATGCCATGGTTCACAAATTAGGGGTCGCTGAGAATTTCTGTTTTTAGGAATTCACTTTTTATTCTGTTCCATTAATTATGTCTTTAAATAGACATCCAGAGAAAATTAATAGAAGCAATGAACCCTCTGTGAAGTACTGCAGCTCCTGCAGAAATTAAGACTTTGTTTACAACTCTTATATGATCAGAGTGGTTTACAACCGGAGCTGGTTTTGACCCATGGTGGAATAGTTCAAACTGTTCTGCTCTAAACATTAACATCTCTGTCTACAAAACAACAAAGACAGAGTGTCAGCCACTTGAAATATACATTTATTGCATGCTAAAAGCATGGTATTTTTGTGTACAATGGTTTATGCACACCAACGCCACAGCCTTCTGTCTCAGAGGGCGCCAATCACAGGTCCACGTTTTTGACTCGCAGCACCACAGGAACTGAGGTGCACGGGATCATTCCCAGCTCTGTGATGACCAAGTCCACAAAGTCGGGAGGCGTCACATCGTACACCAGGTTGAGCAAGCCCAGAGATTTCACCTGCTGCCAGTCCTCCAGCTGAGTCTTTCCTTTCCGGGTCACGATAAGGTCATCTGGGTCATCTAGAGAATGTGATCAAATAGGGGGTCACAGCCATGTTGCAATCATCCAATACATTTAGGTGTTTGGAAGCAATTTGTAACTAAAAGAGTTCACTGGAAATGAGTGCATGGTGCATTCATGTCTTTAAGTGATTGATCAGAAAAACAAAACACACTGTTCAAACCAAAGGAATGGAAACACCCTGAATTTTCAGGTGTAAATCACTGAATTTTTCCCATACCGAGTTCATTGGACACGAAAGAGTCTGTTTGCACCCTCTCACAGAACTTGTACGTTTCACAACACACCAGCACAGGCACGTTAAAGGCTTTGGCCACAAGAGCGATCTGTGACGTCCCCACACGAGACATCACATATCCATTGGCCAGCAGAGCGTGAGCCCCCAGGAACACTTTCGACACCTAAATAACAATGAGGAGACAGAATGACTCGTCTGTCAGGGAACAATAAACTAGTTAATCTCATTGGCTAACACTGCTGCGACTTCATGATCACCTCTGGCAAGATGTAAGAGACGGCAGAGATGAGGACATAAGTGCACCTGATGCCCCGCTGGACCAAGCGTCTCAGGGCTTCCCTGCCCTCCAGCCGTGGTCTGCTATCCACCACGATTACATGAAACTTGATGTCCTTCTTGAAGGCCTCACAAAGGATGTGGTTGACCAGTGATGAGCTAAGCAAAGGAATGGAAATAAAAGAGAAATAAAAAAGAGAAGTGTGGTTGTTTGTAGACAAAAAAAAAGTGGAAACATGGCGGGAGAGGAAAGGGGGAGAATAAAAAAGGGAAGAGAGAAAGTTCTAAAGCTTTGTGATTGCAGACATACAGTAAATGATTCACTTGCTTTGCTTCATCCTGTCAATGTGTTGAGGAAATGAAACTGGAGCCACCCCGAGTCACGAAAAATAAAACAGTACTTTTCCTGCTTGATGGTCACGTCACACATACCATCCATAGACCAAGATCACGTCCCCATTGCTGATTTTCTCTATGGAATACTTGGCAATAGCCTTAGCAGCGAGAATGATCTTCTCATTAATGTAGCAGTCGATGCAGCTAAGCAATTTGCTTTTTGCCTGTGGCAGAGATGGAGAGAATGTGAGAGGATGAGATGATGAAATGTCAGAGTCAGCTGAGTGTTTATAATATCTGCCTGGAACAAACCTCCTCTTCTTTGCACTGACTAGGAATATTGGAGATCTCCTTTTTGATGTATTTAATTGCATTACCCATGCTGGCTGACAGAGGGCGACACTGATTTAGAAAACTGCAATTCAAATGAGAATAATGTGTACAAGTTTTAAAAAGTCAGAAAACATAACAATTACTAAACATTTAACATACAGAACAAATGACTTAATCTTCAGTTGACTTAGTACCTGATATAAGGCTTCAACTTGTTGACCAAGTCTCTTGATATCTCCTCATTTGGAGGAGTAGTGTAGTCCCTTATTACCTGTGAAAGTAAACATTAAGTATATGAGAACAATGATTTCTCGAGGGCCTGCCTATTCAAGTCTTGGCTCAAGGGCCACATGCAGTCTAGATGCAACCGGCCCAGTCTGGACGTTTGTAAAATGGAGAGCGGAATTGAGAGATTTCAAACTGGCTAGAGGAAAGGAGAAGAGTAAAATACCCAGAATTTCATTTGAGAAGCAGCTAGATGTTATTTTTCTGCTGACAAGGGAGATGGTGATAAGCTGTGAGTGATTGTACCTGTTTGAAAGCATGTAGCAGGGCCACAGAGCGAGAGTTGGACCCAGCCACAATACCCTGTGAATACTGGAGGCCCAGTCGTACAATAGCAGGATGAATCACTGAGGAGGGAATGCTGTAGAAACACAAAAGCCAATTGTGAGCTTCACTAAGATAACTGAAAAATACTGCAACGTCTAATCAGACGGTTACTTTACCTAAGTTGTTGTGTTAAAGGAGCTTTACGGCTGTACTGGTGAAGGTGAGAAAACAGACTGACTTTGTAGCCGTAGTCTGACCGAAGGGGAATCTGAAATCAAGCAGATGATGAGTCAACAAGGTCCTGAGACTGTGTTGGTCTTCAGTGTTGTTCGTATAACTTTCTGCATTATATTTTACACTCACTAAAAGAATTTCCACAGCAAACAACAGATGTTATCAATATGCACAAGGACAAAACAAACCAAGGACATCGATTCATAACAGTGGTTACTAAAAATTAGCAAACAAAAAAAATGGGACAAGTACTGTTGTCACACATATTTTAGACAAACCTTGACAAAAGCAGTTGGTGTCTGAAAAATAAACAGTGTTGGTCACATGCTGTTATGACTGGAAGCTCTGTAGGTATTATTAAATAGCGATAAATAAAAAGCACGATGCAGAAAAAGCACAGATTTGTAGACAGAGTACTGACCTGTTGTCTCTCCAACTTCTTGGCCAGTTTCTTTAAGACATCTGGATCATCTACTTGAATATGTTCTGGGAGTCTCTTCACCACTGTAACGACAGGAGTCTAATGTGATTCTCTGCGATTCTGAGTATAGCTGGACTGATTGATGACTTTCAGCGTACCTGGCTGAAGTTCACTGGGTTGAATTTTGGGTTTACCCGTGGGTACAGGCTGACTCACTTCTCCCTTTTTGATCTGTTTGGACACCCTGTCAGCCTCCTGTCGTGCTCGCCTCTCAGCTTTCAGCTCTGCTTTACTCCGGGCAGGCTTGTCCCCAGATACAGGAGCATCTGACGCAGACAGGGGAGACGGTGTTGGAGCAGGCACTGCTGTGGAAGCTAGTAAGGGTACATTAACAGACGTAACAAAAATAAAGCCAGTGGTCAAGTATGTGTTATTGAGGTATGACATCAAATGAGGGAATTAAATATGCACCTTTCTGTGCTGTGACTGGTGCTGGAGGTTGGGACACTGTCATCGGTGTGTTAGACGTGTCTTTTTCCTTTTCACTCTCCTTGTCATCTTTCTTCTCTTTGTTTTTCTTTTGTTGTTTCTTCTCTTTCCTCAGCCTTTGCTTCTCCTCTTTGGTCAGCTCTTTGCCTTCAGTCTGTCGGACGAGGGCGACATAAGACATAGTTAAAACTAAGGCAGATATTGGAATTAATATCAACAAAATAATTATAGGTAAACATAGATACCAACCTTTGCTCGTGAAATGTCATCTTTCCTTTCAGTTCCACCTGTTTAAACAAAAACAAATTACGTTTTCTTATTATGTCTACTTCTTTATGTATTAATCACAGATATTGCTGACAGAACTAGACTTTTCTTCACTTCTGAGGAGTGATACTAAATACGGCCCGGCTTGCATCAGTCTAACCGCAGTAGTCATTAGAATGGAATGCTTCATTTTTTTTAAAGGCAGACAGAGTATTAACACCAATATACCTGCAAGTTTAATATGTTATAGTAAAATAGCTTGAAAAAATAGTTTTCTGTTGTAACATGACAGTATTTGGCGTGATCGCACCGCGGCACTTGTGTGCAATGCTATCGTTAGCACAGCTAGCATTAACGTTTTAACTTTGCTATAAGTCCAAACGTGAAATTAAAAAAATACAGAATTACAACACAGAAAACACACGCCTCTCTCCCTCGCTGTAAGTGTGCAAAACTATCTAAACAAGAAACAATCTGCAGCTGTAACACACTCAGAAACTCACCTGTCACCGCACTGTCAGCCATGTTTACTACACCACTACACACTTCCTGCTGCTTCTTTCTCTTTGGATTCAATAGCAGTTCATATCCATCAGGTTTAATTACTGCCACCCTGTGGTTCTAGGGAATATTTCTCTTTACCTTCTGTTGTCGATTTTGAAGTCCACCCGTCGTCTTTTTGTACATATTTAGTTTCATAAATGTCTTTAAGTCGTCGAAGGACTTAATCATTTTACAGTAGCCTCTTTCTAAACTGTGCATTTTTTTATTTCGTCCCCTCCTGACTATTACAAAGCTCTCTAGTGGAATTTTTACATTTCATATGAACTTTTACCTAAAACGTTAATATTAACCTAAATGTGACCTAAATGTTTGTTTATTCCTTTCATTCAAACTAATATTTTTATCTGGACAACAGTCAGCAATTTGTGTCTGAGGTCAGGCGTTGTATATGTACCATGTGTGAAAAAAACATGTTTCAGTTTTAACTGGTCTTTACAGAATTAGTTGCCATTTTGGAAGCTGTAGCATAAATAGCATATTTTTTAACGAAACAGAACTGTTTATTGTAGTATAATCTCTCATTAAAAGTGTTTTAACCATTGCATCCGGTTCATTTTAAGTAGAATAAGAAAGAAATGACACAACTAATAGTTAAGTGACAAATCTGTTGAAGCACTGACCTCGTTGTCATTATTGAGATGTTGACATTGCCTGTTACATATTTTTAATGTGAAGTCAATCTGTTTGAAGGCCGTAACATAGATGGGGTTATGTTCAAACATTAACTGTACATTAAAAGTAAATCAGGTATAAATAAGATCAGGTTAAACCTGTATAATAGTGTTGTAGGGCAAATGGAAATGTAGAGTTTGGTTTATTATTTGTTTTTTTTGGAATCACATATCCCTGAAAGTTAATATTATGGTTCTGAACTTAATGAAATGATGTTTTTGTCAGTGTCTGAGCTCATTTGACCACAAACACAGTGGATCACGTGACCTGTTAATAGCACACACACATTTTCACACATTACGAACCATTCATACCAGTCCAAATGGTAAAGTATTGTTACCTTTTTTTGTGGTTATTTATACAATCCACACTTATGATCACCACTCAGTATTCTTAGTATTTTATTTTATTTTCCACATACACAATACAGAAAAATCAAGAAAAAGAAAAAAAAAGCCAGCAAATGACTACCACCTGCAGACTATGCAACAATACACTACAACGCCACAGTGTATTTGACTCCATGTCGGCGTCAGCTGACTGAATTCACGACGCAGTAGCTGGTTGAAGGGGACCAAACCTCACAGAAACACCTGACTTGGTTCCGTTTGACCAGCCACAGCAAGGCGTGTTGCTTCAGCTGCAAGAGGCAGAGCAAGAGGGAAAGCAGAGGGAAGATTGAGAGTACATGCGGTGAGAGAAAGTGATAGAAAACAGGGTGAACGATGGAAATGAGAAGAGAGAAAGAAAGAAAGGAGCTGGACATCATCCGCAAGCTGGTGGGCCTTCATGTCCTTCCCACTCTTACCTGGAACACAGAAAGTGACACATAGGATATATTTACTATCACAGCACTCAGTTACGACATTGGAAAACAATCTCTATATAATAATTTAAAAACCCAGAAATCCTGACAGACCGTGACATCTTTCTATTTCCTTCCAGACTGCAGGGGTGAACCCTCACCCTCATCAGTGACAGCAGCACATCTTTGCCCTCCATTCCTCCCGTCCCTCATCCCTCCCTCCCTCCCCTCTTCCCTTTTTTGAAAGTCCTGTGGTTGCTATAATGGGTGACAGCTGTGGCCTGTCAATCCTGCTTGACTGTCAGCAGTTGGGGCAGGGCAGGAATTTTTCTGGAAGTCCCTGAGACCTGATCGTCAGTCCAGGGAGTAATGCTAACTGTACACGTGTCTGTGCTAAAGGAGAGGGAACGGGCCTTTCACCTGTTGCCCCTTCTTACACCCATACTTGTACACACACACACACACACATGTCCTGACTCATAAAACAGAAAACAAAGGCATTTCAAATTGAACACAACGACCCACAGTGCATCAGTGTAGACATACATCACTGTAACCGCAGACGTGTCTTTCCTTCCCGCTCTGGTTGGCTGCTGTTTATGCCCGCCTGTAACCACACACTTCCTTACATTCCATAAGTGCTGTATTAATATGGGGATATAAGGAAGCATGTCTTTACAGGAGGTAACAACTGGATCACCCCTTCCCCAACCCCTCCCCCACCTCAGTGGAAATAAGGCACCCTTTCATGGCCACAGATGCAGCGTATAGCGGGAACAACCAGCTCAACAATGGTTAACTGTGACAGAGGGGAGAGTGGGGTCTATATGACGGCTTCCATTATATATGCCACAGGAAAATGAAATTCATACTCGGGAGTGCCATGTTTACCCAGAAAAAAGTCAACATTTCCCCCTGACAATTAGGATTAGAGAGATTATTATTAATCCCCCTTAAAACCGTGCTGCTCTTTGATGGCTGGCGCCGCTCTGATGAGGACGATGTGATAAAATGCATGTAAATAACTCTGGAGGGAGAGGCAAATACTGACTCCCAACACACAAAGGTCACAATCTGTGTTATTTCCTGCCCATCGTGTCATGCCAAGGCATGTTGATCCCGACAACTGTGTAATGTCAAAATGACTGTGTAAACATGGGGTGTGGAAAGTCAACCCGGTTACAAAGCAAGACCCGACTCCCTTTATGTTTAGTTCTACTCACCTTCACTGAGCTCTGTTGTGTCTCCTCTGGTGGTTTTCTTGATGCTGGAGTTGAGGCTCAGTCCAAACTTGAGTCTTTCTAACTATGAGTTTAACTGAGTGACCTGGTCACTGCAGTCAAACCAAATGGCCTGGAGCCAGATGAGTCCCTCCATACTTCCTAACTCTTTCCTGTCTTCACACCTTAGCTTCTCCTCACCTGACAGAGGCGTCGGGCTCTACGTGTTGTATGTGCCATAAAACAGAGAAGAAACTTCTAACAACTGGCGCGACACCTGTTTTTACTCACACAAGGCTGAATGTAAAGGTAATTTAATCTAAGATTGTAGATCTGTGCTAATCTACAGTAATCTTGACGTTTGCCCAGTGTTACTGCATCTATTCCTGCTATTAAAGAGTAAACACTGGAGCTGACCCAGTAACCTATCATAGCCTAAACTCATCTGAGTCGGACCCTCCACTTCCTGAGACCCACTCCCCAACTTCACCTCGCTTCTCTTCTCACTCCTGCTCCCCTGCCACAAGCCGTCCTCCTCCGACTCCGCTCAGTGGATTGTGTCCACAACAGGCCTTGCAGATCGGCCTTTTCAATCCCGCCCGGGAGCGCCCCCCTCCAAAGCGGCCTCCCACCTGTTGGTGTCCTTTAGAAGCCCGGGCCTCTCCTGCACCTCCTGTCCGGCCCAATCAGGACCCTGACAGGGGGGAGCCAGCCTGTGAAATCACACCTCTCAGCTGTTCACACTGGGCTCAGGACACCCTACACCCCTGCCGTTTCCCTCGTCAGCCCCCACCCCATCCTTCCTCGATTTTACACGAGTGTCAGTGGCTCCATTTTGGAGGAAAAAAGAAGAGAAAGAGTGGGATACACAAGAATAAGGAGGCAACTGTGCGATGGGCGTGTTTTATTGGTTTTTGGGGGGTTAGAGTCAGAACAGGCGGTCATCAGTCACAGCTGAACCCAAGCATGAGTTTCATCCCTGTTTGGATTCTGCTCTTCACTTTCTTTCATTGTATCATTTACAGTAATAAAAATAGTGACCCTTGTTGTTACTGAGGGTCTTTTCAAGGCAGTTTTTGATGATGCGACGGTTGAATGAGGTCACTTTACACACAGGACTTGTTTACCTTAGTTTACCTCGCAGTCTTTTTAAATGCAGATATGCGGTATTGCATTCACATATTGTGAGGAGCAAGTGATGATGTGTAGACCCAATATGTGAGATCAACAAATGTTCCTTTGAAACTGGGAAACTATTATTCATGTACATCAACTTTTATTTGGTAAAAAAAAGTTTTAAAAAGTAAAAAAATAAGAAAATGTCGGTTCACCTTTTACAGTAATACACTGTTATAGTTACTTTTTAATGTACACTCTGTGGGTGTAGCAACATCTAGCGTTAAGTTTCATTAATGTTTGAATGTTCCTTGTCTCACATTTCCTGAACGAGCATGAAGGAAAAATACTGCAGTTTTTTTTTTGTAGCTAATACAATATGAAAGGTCCAACACAGTAGATGTCACGAAAACAACTGTGATACATTTGAGAGAGTAAAATTGTAAAAGTGATTTAATCACATTTTCTGATGAAATATTAAATAATTGTATCTATATTTCAATGACCGTCCATTTAAAGTCGATATAAATAAAGTTTTAGAGCATTAACGTGGGACCACCAGTGCTATACAGAAAGATGGGCCAAACTCAGGGGTTCATTTTCCTCTGCAGCAAGCACAAGCCACTCCACTAAGGTCAACACCTGTGTTCTAAAATCAGTGCTGGGGTTGGGTGTGATAGGAACCCAGACCTCATTCACAGAAAGCTCGGGCTCAGAGAGAGGAGCTTACATTGAAACCCAATGCTCTCGCTATTTTCGAGGCACTCGTCAGCCACAAATAGCAACCCCATCCCATCTTTGTAGCTCCCGTTTTCTCCTCCGCCACAGGATGTTGTCTAAATTTGACAGTTGTTCGATATTTCCCATGGCCCTGAGCCAGGAGGTAAAACAAATGCAACATTTCCACTAATGTCAGCTATGCACCACGGCCTTGCCAGATATATCTGGGAGCTCGGAATATCAGATGACTTTTGTTGCTGAGTGGATTCTTGGTCACTTGCACCGGACGCAATGGTTAAAACACAAATGATAATCCTGCTGTTCCTCTGCACTGGACAGCTGGTCGTGGTCACACTGCCATCAGATCGGCTAAAGTGCCTCATTTAATCTTCCTTCTCTCTTTCATCATGTTTCATTCATCATGCCAACAATCTCATCTGACTGTGGGATGTTTTTCATTATCTCCAGTATTAAATATCTTGTTTGTTTGTGTTTTACCTTGAGTTAATTAAACACTATTGTGTTATAATAATAAGCATTGATGCATTTTAGCAAAATTATTTCTTAACTTAAAAAAACCCACACAGTTACTTCCCTGGACAATTAAGCCAAGATATGAGGATGACAGCAGAGGAGCACCGCTCGTGGGCTGCATGTAATCTACAAACTGAGCCAACAGGGTTATTTTTAACTCCTGTTCACATCATGGGGCCCCATTCACTAATCACTTTGTTGCCCTCTGTCATACCCATCTGCTGCAGTGCCAAAGTCACATCACACTTTTATTGGCAGAAGGAATGATTCCCCTCGGGACGATGGTTAAGATGATTGAATGAATAACAATTTCCTTTGAGATGAATTAACAATGTATCACATCATATTTAATGCATTTGTTATATTTCCTGCATGACAAAAACACCATTTTATTAAAGATGTTTTGTCATTATGTTCTACAGTTTGCTCTCTCACAGTATACCTCAAAGCATTCTACCCACAAATGATAACACAATGAAGACATCAAATAAAAGGACGATATTTACATTAAAAACTGAAGTGAAGATGGATCACTGGAAACAAATGATGATCAAACCTCAGTCGGCAGTTGTTCATATCTCTATGGCAACAAACCACGAAGTAAAAGTGAACTGCTTGATCCTAACAAAGCATAAGCAGATCGTTGTAGCCTGCTGATGACTCATTACATGATACGCTCTGTCCTTCCCTGGGCACAACAGTTGCCAGGATGGAGGTTGACACAGCTGTTGCAAAAGAGCCTAGTCCCGCGTGGTGGAGCAATGTAGCAGAAAGGTCAAAGGTCAACTGGGTTTATGCTAAAAGAAAGAACAGGTGATGGAAAGGTGAAGGCAGATGACTTCAGTGAGTGACTGAGGGGACAGACAGATGCTTAGGGTTCAGTAAATGTTGGAATGAAGTACCGCAGTAACAGACACGACACAGTAGCCATAAAGAGTGCTGGGTCACTACAATTCATCACAACATTTCTTTGCTGCTTTCACCGCAGGGTAATGCAAACACCCATTTAAATGGGGGACCGTGTTACATCTAAAACCGTCCATCCACAGTGGAAGGCTAATTCAACAAACACAGCACCCTCTGAAAACATGATGTCTTTTCTGTGATTCCCTCATTAGTCTCTCATCTGCTACCAACAGCCCTGAAGGTGATAAAACAGGAAAGGCAGTGCTGTTCGTTTTCTCACTCATCGAACAATGAAGACATAAAAGGGTGTCAAAAGTGAGGCCTCTGCCTCCCTGAATGACTCGAGATTGTAATGTTAAGACACCTTCTGACCCGAGCAACAGGTGAGCTGCAATATGTCCAGGCAAGTATGTAGTTCAGGCCTAATTGTAGGCCCTAGTCATAAAACGAGGTTCACAGGAGAGGAGATTCCAAGTGTTACAGTAGACAGACTCAAAAAAACAACAACAAAGAAATAATATACATACAAGGTGAGTGCACTAAAATCTATAGTTTAGAAATTTACCATAAAACATTAATTTGTTTGGCAAAATGACAGGACAGAATGTCAATTAGTTGGGCATCATTTATTAACTTTATGACATTATAAACATTAAAACAATTTAGTTCAGGGTCGCACACACTATTGTTTAGCTCGGGAGCTGCCATTCAAATGATCAGGCTAAAGTGATATACCAGCATGAAAGCATTGAATACATATTTATTCATATAAACTGAACTGTATATACCTTATATGTTGAGGTACTGATTAAATACATTTGGCTGTATGATACAATAGGATTTCATTACAGTATATGGTTACTACTATATACTATAGAATTATATTTATTTTTTATGATTATTATTTATGATTAAGCTGATAGCTGCCTGCCAATCAATAGTTTAACCTCCCTTTTCCAGCTGCTGTTGGCCATATTTTTACATACATCTTTACTGTGGACAAGAATGAATGTAGCACAAGCTGTAGACCCCCGAAAAAGCTCGGGATGGAGGGTAATGGGGGGGATTGGGTTGATGGGGGTCGTCACTCAGCTGCCAGACTCTGACCAAAAGGGAATGACAACTGCAGGAGAGGCAGCAGCAACAGCAGCAGCAGCGGTGACACCAAGATAAAATGGAGTAGGGGGTTTATAGCAGGCAGAGAGAGGGGGGAGATCAGCTGAATCAGCTGCCCAGCTGAGGAGAGTCAGGTGGTCTATGCTCCGCTCAGACCAACTTGTCTGCTCAATCCCTTAGAAACCTCTCTTGACAGAAGGAGGAATTATTTATTCAAAAAGAAAATCATGTTAATCTCACCACTGCTGTTAATATTAGAAAATCCCTCTCCATTGGGAAAAGCAAGAATTTGAGCATTACATTTATGCAACACCTTTTTTACTTAAATAACGTTTAAACATAGTGGTCTTCATATAGGTCGATACGTTTTTATTGCCACAGTCTCAAATTGTGCCCACCCTAACACCTCCCCTTGTCCTCTCCAACCCCCTCATGGGAAGTAACAGCTGTGGTGTCACCCAAAGTCACATGACATGGGCAGGTGGGAGAGACCTATGTGGGACATCCATTCCCTCTTTCTTCCCCCCATTCTCTCTCTTCCTGTATATCAAACTGCACTGACACGTACACACATTCTCCTCTCTCCAAGGGTGTGGCCTTTATACATTGCTGGAATGTGCCTCGTGTTTATAATTCATCCTGGACATCTGATGTCCAGCGTTCATCAAATTCCACGGACAGAAATCTCCCACTTCTGTCCAGCATAGCTGCTATATGTCCACGGCTCCAGTGACTGAGGTGACATCAACTACAAAGAGTGTCTGTTGAAGAACGGCCCCACTGTTGTCTGCACTTTCACAGCTCTGCAACTCTAACGATACTCTGGGAAAGTTAACTTATCCTACTGTATATCACATGGGTTGACCTTTTAGGAACAACCGTATAAATCCCTCACAATTTTATTTATTTATTTTTAATTTTTATTTATTTACATGTGCAGGTAAATGTCAGGACAAAATTCAAAGCATTCCAAAAATAATGTTGAAAGAATTATATTCAACAAATTCTCAAACAGCAATAACATCCATGTCGAAAACTGTACTTCTCTGTACTTTACAAGAAATGCATTTCTATTCTGCATTATAACTAAGACCTAAAAGGAAAAATATGCCATAATATTTGTTTGCATTAATGCACGTCCCAAAAAAAACTGCAGTGGGTGAAATAAAAATAGTCAATAGTCCACGGCAGTTGTTACCAATTGTTACACAATTTGAATTGAACTGAACTGAGTTACTCAACTCAAATTTCAATTTGAGTTGAGTAGTGAAGAGTTAATATTTTCTGTTTTCTGCATGAGCTGTATTCCTCCTTTGCCACTGTTTAATACATAACTGCTTGGTGTGCCTCTAACTGATGATCACTCTTCTTTTTCTTTAATATTTAATTTGATAGAATATTTCTACCTGTCCATATTTAATCCTAAAATATAATCTTGATTACATCCAGACATACACATAGTTAAATACCTAACTTAATAGATTCTCAGCTTTAATCCTGTAGGTTTGATAAAAAACTAAAAGAAAAAACAAGAAAAAATCAGGCGTCTTTGAGCAGGTTTAGTGGGAACACAGTGACGCCTCAGTTTCTGTTTCTGGGGACTGAATTAATCAACGGACATCTTGGTGCTTGATTTCTGCGGAAAGTCAAGTTTAATGTTCGTATGGAATAATAAATTAATTAAATGCCTTATTTGTTTAAAGAAAAATTATTAACTCGTTTCGAGCATGTATGGGTGTATAATTGAGTCAAAACGACGATTTTATATATGGTGACAGCACGTGCGGCTGCGTTTGGTGGTGCAAACTGACCTTACATTTGGTCAGACCAAACAGAGGTTGGTATTTTTAACCTTTACTCTTGTATTTTATTACCTAATAAAATTGTATCTTTATTAAATGTGTAAAATTAAAAGTATTTGTTTTTGTCCAGTTTTTAACACAATGCGATGCTGAAATAACACAAACACCGCAGCTGTTTGAACGTGAATATATAATGTCTGTGTAGGTTCTGAGTGAGTGAATATATAATATTTTCCCCCATGATGACAGAATTATTAACTTTGTTCTACGTGCAGACAATGTTACCGACAGCGGGTCGACTCTCTAAAGTGCTGCAGCTCACCCTAGCGGTCATCAAACCAGACGCTGTGGCTCATCCTATGATGCTCGAGGTCAGCTCCCACACACAATACTTTCTTTACCCTTTCTCAGACAGCATTTAGTGAGGTTGGCAGGAGTAGGTACACATACAAATAAATTAATTCTACAGACTGCCTTTGTGGTCATAAACACAGATTAATGTAAACTATCTATGTGATGATGGTGATCTCATTTTCAACCCACGTAGACAGAGAGAAGTATTTGGATTATAAAATGGTGTTTTGATTATATTTGTTTACACAGTAAAATAAAACTCACCTTTTCCCCTAAGTCTCTCCATCAGAGGATCCTGGAAGACAACTTTCTCATTGTAAGATGCAAAGATCTCATATGGAGCCAACAAGACTCTGAGCGCTTCTACGCCGAACACTCAGGTGTGGATCCAACCAATCAACACGTAGCTTCAGCTTTGATGTAGCAAATGAATGTCAAACAAAATGTTGCATTAAAAAGTGAAGAAACCATCTATTGATTTGAGAAAAAATGATTGTGTTAATGATTAGTGATTAATTTTACTAATAAATTGTTTTGAATTTTAGGGAGATTCTTCTATCAGAGACTTGTTGAGTTCATGTCAAGGTAAGTCGTAAATACACAGATCCCATGTTATGACATGTTGTAATACATGTAATACAATTATAAGCTTATAAGGTGTTTGCATTTGTTTTTCTTTGCACAGTTACAACAAGTTATTTCAGTTGCATATGAACCACTGAGTTGGTGGAGATACAATTCTCCTCACTTGATGTTGCTCCCATTTGTTGCTCAATCATTTTGTAAAGGTGCACAACAGGCATTTCATTTATCAGACGACTACAATGTTGAGCACTGAGCACACCTGCAGCGGTTATCTGAAAATTGGACTGTAGCCTGTTCACAGCAGCTTGTCATGCAGCAAACATGGTGGTCACGGTGATGTTTTTATTCAGGTTGTCACCATGGTGATAAAAAAGATCAATTATTACATCCATATCTAAAAGTAATAATATATTGTATTTTTTTTGTCAAAAAATCTTCATAAATATAACATGAAGTTCCCTTGTCAGATTTGTAAAGTTCTGTCTTTTTTCCCCAGTGGTCCAATGCGGGCTTACATTTTAGCCAGAGAGGACGCTATCCATCACTGGAGAGAGATGATGGGGCCAACGAAAGTCTTCAGAGCCCGATACACCTCGCCTGCCTCCATCAGGGCGCAGTTTGGACTCACAGACACAAGAAATACAACCCATGGCTCCGGTAATAATATAAGTTATCACATTTTTGTTTCTGTTCTGTTCTTTGAAATTTCTTCATTCCCTTAAAACAATAATAAAATTGTCGGTGCTTTTACAAATAATAAAAAATATACATATGTATAAGAATGAGTATACTGTGTGAGTTTGCAACCCACACAGGCTGCCACAAGAGGCACCATTAAGTTTGTGGTTGCAGCTCACAGGTTGCACTGTTATTATTTGATGGAGATTAAATACATTCAATTAAAATGTCTCTGTTGACTCCATAAAATAACCATATGTCTAGATTCTGCAGAGTCGGCACAGAGAGAAATCAACTTCTTCTTCCCGGACTTCTGTGTGGAGGAGTGGATGGAGAAAGACGAGCTGTTGTTCAGATCCAGACGTTTGGACTTTGACCATGAAAAACAGATCCATACGCCTCAACTGAAGAGCTGACGTCCCAGCAGCAGCTGCTACAACAGCATCTCATCAACAACACAGTTCAAAGACAAGCAGTGTGAGGATGTATTGTCATGGCTGCTGCCAGAAATGATGTCACACCTTTATGTAAGTATATGTTTGTACATTTTTTTGTTTGGTTCTCACGTGTGCCAATGTATTTTTGATCTGTGCCTCGATGTCATGCACTCAAGAAAAATAAATCAAATGTTTATGTTTTTATCTTTAATGCCATTACAAAAACACAGACAACTTAAAGGGACAACAACTTGACACAACAAAACCCAAAGTAGGAACACAGCGTTTACACCGTCCTCAGAAAACCTTGCCAAGACACTTGTCATCCTGAGTCACACTGAGCTCGTGCTGTGAGTGTTTGTCAAAACAATTAATTTATAAAATATTGTCATCGTGAAATACAGTGATATTTCACAGAAAATTTACTGTATTTCAATTTTAAAAACCTTAAACACCGAGTGCAAAAATGCCCAAACGCGGCTTGTGCTCCGTCACTGTTGCCGAGATTGGCTGTGTTTAGGTCAGTATGAATCCGTGTGTTCAATAGAAAAGTCAAGCCATATGTTTCCTAATAAAGGAGCATTCGCTCTGGAAAAAGAGTTTCTCGCTTCATTACTTCCTACAATTCTGCCTTTCACTACAATTTACATATAAATATATATTATGTGAAAAAACAACATGGAGGGCGTGGCCTGTCTTCTGTGCAGTTCATACAGTATGATGTGTGATGATGCTTCTTATATTTGATTCAGCTTTAATCCCTTGAAATGTACTAATAATAATGTAAACTATAGTTTTGCCTCGTATCTTAAATTGAAAATACTTGAAATACCTGAATGTGCTAAATAGTCGTTTCATGCCATGATTTTTAAAACAGGCTGTAATGTTTTTAACTCCATCATTTCCTGAAAATCTTTTCACCAAACTGCAGCTGTTCGTACAGTGTCACTGTATCAGGCACCATTGAAAAACACATTTTCAGTTGTGCTAAATCTGCCTTAGGTTTTACACATGAGTTCAAGTTCAGTCCATGTAATTCACAGTCATCACTTTACTGTTTTTTCTTTGGCTTCCTTCTCCTCTGCCCTGTGGTCAAGTTGCCACCTGCTTTAGACTCTCCACAGGTTTGAGAACCTCGTAGCTGGTGAGGGATTTCTTCACCTTCCCGTTCTTGTCCACCTGATGGATGCTCTGTGTCACTGTGATGGTCACCTGTTTGGTCGACATCCGATTGTCCTGCCATTTTGTCTGATAGGGAATGAAATGAGTTATTACACAATAACTCATAATAAGTACACAAGAACGTAACATCATATGTTAGAGTAGAGTAGAAAACATTTTCATATTGACATGATCCTAAACATCATTATTTATTTCATGATCTGTTACTTCATGGCTTAAATTTAAGGTTTCACTGATGCATTTCTACTTCATTTACAAAGAGCAGACTCAGCATATACTGTGTCAGTCTTAGTTAGAAAAAGTGAAAAAGAAGGAAAGATGTGTTGGAAGAAAATAGTGGAAGAAGGAGCGTACTATTTCTTCTGTGTGTAGTACACTGCGGCGCTGAACGGTAGTACCGGACGAAGGCGTCACCACCTCTTTGGGCAGGGAGGCCAATATGGCAGGAGAGCTGCTGGGCTTCACGTCACTCAGACTGGCCTCAGATACAGAGGAACAGACCTTTAGATACGCCTGGGCGGGAGGAGGGAGGCTGTCTTCGAAGAAATCTGGAACTGGGAGCAAACAGAAGGCTTAACTAAAGAAATGTTTCCTCTGTTGATTCTGAACTGTTGATCCTTTAACAACAAAGTCTTTAATTACAGCTTAAAAAGCTCAGCTAATATTTTTTTGCCCTTTACTAAGTCGCCTCTAAAATCAGAAGCCTTTGTTATGTACAAGTCTTTTCTAATGGATAGGAAACACCAGAGTCAAGCAGGTAACCATAAAGTAGTGGTTGCCAAAGACGGCGGGGCAGATATTTTCATCATTATCATTAATCAAGAAAACAAACATTTTCTGATAATTGGAAATATTAGTCAGTAGTTTTTCTAACATTTTTACATCTGGACACCATTTCCCCCTCAGCTCTATTTTCAGCAGGGAAGATGACACAGTAGGTGAAGTGCACAGATTAGTATTGTTTCCTCTTGTTCAACAAGAATAGTAGTTTTTTCTTTTAATACAGTTCATTGGAGTACTGTGAATGTGGAGGAGTGGGGGTGTCGAGAACAAAACGATATATAAATAACAGCATCAAAAAGCAGCAGCGTCTGTCTCGAGACTATTCTGACAACACTGTGATCAATAATAGTAAACTCGAAGCATTGGAAACAGACAGCATGTTAACTGTTAGTTGAATGTCCTATAACGTTCAATGTGTAGAGACCACTGTGTGACATAATCTGTGTGGTTACCAGGTGCCCGTGGACCTGCTCATAGCTGCTGAGGGCTGCTTTATTTGTCTTCACAATTACATCAAGGCTCCTCTGCCTGCATTCACTCACTTCTCTATCTGTTGCCAAGAGCGGCAGCATCTGTTTGAACACAGGCTTGAGGATTTTTTTCTGTTTCATCTCCTCTAGGCTTAAATAAAATGCACTGGTAATTTAGAGAAATCACCACACAAAGGGCATTCATCTATTTCTGAGCTTCCTGCAGAGGTGAAAATGACTGGCTGTCTGAAAGCAGAGCTGCACAAATAAACATCCTCAGAATACCTTCCACAGGGAATGGCAGGTATTTCCCCTCCTAAGCCAATTAAATTAATTACAACTAAGTAACGTCCTGTACAAGGCACAACTACAAATGTTTAAACAGGGTCCAAAGGCCACCAGATTGTTTCCAGTAATGCAATTAATATATAAATATTACAATATGCAGTCTCTGTCTCACTCTCTCTCTCTTTATATATATATATATGTACATATATATATATATAAAGAGAGAGAGAGTGAGACAGAGACTGCATATTGTAATATATATATATTACAATATGCAGTCTCTGTCTCACTCTCTCTCTCTTTATATATATATATATATATAATTTATTCATGTTTCAATAAATAAGTCTTCGAAGTGAAGAATCGCAGTTTTTAATGGTTCTCTCTTGTGCATTTTAAATGTTAACCAAATAAGCTGATTTTATTTTTATTTGGTTTTCTGCAAAATATCGCCGTCTGCTGGCTAACACAACGGACTGCACTGTACAATAGAAGGAACAATACTATGCCTGGAATACATGGACGTTCTTTGTGGACTGCTACGCTGCCAAATATCAACAACAATTCTAACCCTCCTATTAAACAATATTGCTGGCAGTTGAACATGAGAAATCTTGTTTAAATTTGCAAATACTTCAATAAGCATCTGCATTTCAAAATAACATTGTAATTATAATCTCAACTACTTTATTTGCTTTTTTTGCATTTTATTTACCTGGGCTGATGGTTTTATCTGAGTTCTCATAGTTTTCAATGGGGATGTTCTGTAAGGACGATAGTGGGATGTCTGTGTCCGTGCTGGTCAACCATGTTGACTCTGTCTCTTTCGTCCAACTGTCTAGGTAACGAGGCTCCAGGGCATCTGTCCTGCTGCCACCACAGCCCATGGCTCCGTCCTACAGCTCCTTCACTTCTGAGGAGCACTTTTATTCTGAAAAAAAAAAAGCAATAAAGAGTTTAACAAACAGAGACAATAACATTTAAAATTGGATGTTACCTAAATTGACCCTGTCCTTCATTTACTACTATCTTAAGCTATTTTTTTAATCTATGATTTGCTTTTTCCTCAATTACAACTTTGTTGTTGTACTGTATTTTAAGCAGGTCTAGACTGAAACATTAAAACCATCATTTAGATTTAAAAATCTAAATGTATTAGACACCTTTTTATAGTTTAGGGTTATTTATTCAGATCAAATCCAATACAAGTGATAAAAGTTGGAGTTTGAAGTTAAACAAACCCCACTCCTCCTGTGACCGGTTATTGATCTGCCCTGCACACTCACATTTACATGCGTGGATGAGCATCAGCTGGCAGCATCGTCTGGTTGTCAGTCAGCATCAGGGGAATAGGAGCCTGTGGATCAGGGAAACAGGGAGACGCCTGTAGGAGAAGCAGCAGGGAGGCAGGAGGGATGGAAGAAAGAAAAAATAAAGAACATCATTTCAGTGACATTTAAAAAAAAATCACAATAACCATCTATGGTCCTGTATCTACTACAGTGTCAGTGAACAATCATGTAAATCAATGGCAGATGTCAGCTGTGTGTGTCATCGAGCCTGGTCACCCACTGTTTACCTGCAGTGATTTGCAGACGAGCTCCTGGTTTTTAATCGATGGACAAGCTGTTCGAGTCAATCGATCATTGCGTTCACTAATCTAACCGTCACTCCCAAGATTATTAATGGAACCGAGTCTGGTAAAAAAACAAACAACAACAACAAAACAAACAAACAAACAAAAAAAAAAAATCGCGGAGGCAGAGTGACAGATAGACAGCGTTTAAGCGTCGCTGTTTTCACCGAAGGCCGTTTAGGGAGCGTCACTGACGGAACATAGGACACGTGAAGGCACCACGGAGGCGGCGGTGTCCGCCACCTGCCCCCAGCCCACACAGAACCATATGACAATCAAGCATGATGATGATGATGATGATGATGATGATGATGATGATGATGATGATGATGATGATGATGATGATGATGACATACTCACTGCGGCTGCTGCTCGTGTCGCCCCGCTGCTCCTCGGTGGTTTCTGACCGACCCTCCTCTAACATATTTGTCAATAACCGACCCTCCTCCGGTCGGTTAAACATGGCCGTTCAGTCCGCCTCCTCATTCATTATATATTCATTCATTATTATTCATACAAAAGGTTCAGTCGCCCATCATTACAGTTAATGTAAAACCAACGGGCACTGTCGTATTATAGATTATTAATATTTATTATTATTAACAATTATCTTTTAACACATTATTTCTGAACACAGAATACCAGTTTAATCTAAATGATGACAAACAAAATTACCTGTAGCTGTTTATGATGTTCATTTGTAAAGGGACAATGCACACACATTATCTTTAAAAACTTATAATATATTATATTTATAATAATTAAAAATAGCACCAATTAAAAACCATTTAATTCTACACACACGCACACACACACACACACACACACACAGCCCGTATTAAAACAACAAAGACAAACATTTACCACATCATTTCCTGATGTGTGTGTTATGAACCAGCCATTTCATGGCACTGACCTTCAGTGGGTGATTGTCGTGTTATTGAATTCCAGTGGTGTGACTGTATCTCGTCATCATAATGCTGTGGTCACTTTTGTCGTATCTGTCTCTGCCGTCTCATTTTGCTTCCCCCCATTATCTCCTTTGTCCCTGCCTTCTTCCTGACTCCACTACTTGACTGGTGTCAAGAAATTCACTACCGTAGCTCGTTGTTCTTTGGCATTCCTTGGCCTTTAGTTCAATCGTCTGTTTACGTATTTGAGGTTTAGGATCGTTCTGCATCAGTTTTCTGTAGTGTTTTGGTAGAGGCCAAGAACTAGTTTCTATTCTGAAGGGAAACTCTTCTCTAATCTCTAATCTTTCTCCAGTCAGACTGGAATAAAATGTCACCAAAGCAGTGGACTCTCTCTTCATTGTTCAATTGTTCCAGTCAATAACTGCACTGGTTTCTCTGCAGTGATTCCAGTGTCTTTAAACACTGTTATAGTTTTATCTTTAGAGCAGAGGTGTTCCCCTAGGGGTCTGTGAAGGTATTGCAAGGAGACATGAATTTTTTCGGTTGTTCTTCTGGTCCTCCATGTGCAGTGAGGATGGTGTCAAACTCCTGGCACACTCCTCAAATATGGCCCCATAACCAGATGTCAACGACTATTTATTTTAGACCTAGAATTATTTTTTGCAACTGTTTGTTGACAAAAAGCTTGGAATTTCTGAGGAAAACTATTTTTTTTGGAAATGTTGTAATGAAGCTTGAAATAATATTGAATTTGTCTGAAGCTAATTTCTTTAATAATTATTTTTCCCAAACCCATCGGTTTGTTTAAAAGCTCTTCAAAAACTTTAGATAGAAGAGAGAGTGTTTTTGAATACTTCCACAAGAGGGCAGCAAAAGTCCATCAATGTCCTCTAAGATCTTGCTCTTGTAGAGGTCCACTTAATAATTATAATTAACGTAATGACTGTCTTCAGAAAATTGATGATTCTTTGTCTAGACATTTAGGTTTGAACTGCAAAAAAATAAAACCAGGATACATATTATTGTCCGTCAGAGATTGGGGTTTTGTTATTCTAACTTAATTACAGTAATGTTGATTTCTAGATTTCACAGGATACAGTATTTCTTAGGGATGTCACCTGCTTTCTAGTCTATTAAATGAGGTAGCACTGGAAGACAACAAGTCCAACATCAGTCCTTTAAATAGCCAATCATTATTTCTGCCCAGCTCTGAGTTGAATCACATCCTCGTGACTTCCTGCGTTCAGCCCTCACCTCCTCAGCTAATGAATCTCACCGGCCGTGGACACCCAGGTCAATATGAGTCCAGGCAGTGTTTGATTTGTGTGCCCGGCCCCTCTGTCCTATTGGACGCACTGGTCAATAGGTCTGTCTTCCCATTAGCCTGACGATAAATGTGACATCCTGCCAAACATGAGCTGTCGTGGACAAACTCTTGCAGCTTTTATCTGCACGTAGCATGCCCGCTGCTACGTGCAGAGATGTAAAAAGCTGAAGGAATGTTTTCCAGTTTTTGGGGAAAAGAAAAAAAAAAGAAAATCAGATGGTGCTGGATCTAAACCTGTTGCAAAGATTCAATAATTTTATGACGATGATTAAAGAGTCCTTTTCCTCCTCTGCTGCCTTTTGGTCCTGAGATATGACATGCTGAGGTTTCATCCACACCGTTAAATATAGGAGCAGCCAGTGGTGTGCACACTGTAACTGTGCTGATCCAGATTAGGCTTGTGGTTCAGTTGTGGTTCAGTGGCATCAATCACATCTCTGTGCCCATCTCTGACAGATACCCCCCTCTCTGTCCCCTGTATTTGCAGCAGTAATCTTGTCTTGTGTGGACCCAGGCCAGGACTCTCTCCAGAGGTTATAGTCCGTCCATCCATCAACATACAGTAAAAACAGAGACAACCTCTATTAACAAAGTGTGATCGGCTGATCCGCGCCAAACCATTCAAATGAAACAAATGACGCAGAGCTAAAGATGTGATCGTAACGAGGCGTTCATGGGTTCGTTGGTCTGTACCTCACACAGGACACAAGTCATTTAATTAATGCAAATTATTTAGTTTCTAGAATCACAACTTTATTACAGTTATTTATTCTTACTGCATCTGCTAGCAGCTGAAGTATGCATCGTACCACGACTGGAACACTTTTGGAAATTGGAAGAAGAAATTGCAGAGCACAGCTTCGTTGAATGTAGATTTATTTTCTTTTGGTCAAACAACTTGAATATCATCACATTAAAGATAGCATCTCATTTCGTCGGCTGAAAAAATGTCACATTTGACCTAAAACTAATAAATACTGGCCTCCTGACTAAAAATTGCGGTTTAGTGGTTTCTTATCCTCCTCACATTCCAGAAAGAACCTCAGTTGAATCCTACTGGTAAGGAAAGATGAAGATGAAAATTCCTAACGTGAACCCTTTGTGTGACTCACCTCAATTAAATATTAGTGTTGTGTTTCACACACAGTAAATACAAATATTTCCTTACATACACTTTTGCGGTGTGTTTGCGTTGGTATTTTTCCGTAGGGAGATGTAAAAAGCTGAAGGAATGTCCAGCGTCCAGTCTATTAAACGGTGTGCTGTAAATGTAAAGGAGCACGGCACTGCACAATCAATGATCCTGTGGTTGCTCACAGATTTCTCAATGTCATCAAAGGTCATTTATTGACTTTGTCGGAAGCAAATCATTGAAAATGATGAATTTTCCACTAGATGTCATGATTGTCCAAGTGTAGAGTTGCAGTTTCAGTCCCAGCTTATTGTGTTGCACATTTATTTTATCCAGCATGTTACAAAACTCTTTGTTTGTTTGAGTCGAGTGCTCCGCATAAACACTTTTTTAAATGTATCATTTAATGGACCTGTCTTTATCTTTCTCATCTATCTAACAAATTTTAATTTTAACAAGAAAAATCTGCCAAAAAATTAGGTCTCCCAAAAAATTAATTTGATTAGTCACTTGGTAGCTTTGGAATAAATATGATTAATCAAGATTATTGAGATAAATATTAACATATATGTATATTTGCTAGAATATAAAGACAAATACCTGGTCAATGTAGAATAACAGATGGATATTGAACTGGATAATTTCTGTGACCCATTCTGTGTATTCATGTCAATACATTTAAAATGATTTATTTCACACATTAACGTGATTAATACCTTTATTTTGACAGACCTACAAATGACCATAATAAGTCAGTAACACAGTACAACATGTTGTTTTCCTCCACTTACACAGAGGACGGTACTTTGAAGGTATAATTACTACGACTGGTTGAAAAGTGCCTGAGCAGAGTAAATTACCATCAGGCTAACGAGCCAGTGAGAGAATTTGGGTAATTAGTCACT